AAGTACTTGAAATGCTGCAATTGATAATCGAAAAGCATGGAAATGATGGACGGCTTGCTGTATGGTACATGTGTTATGACTCAAACCCTGTGTATACTCCAAGTTCTTTGTAACTAGCATTCAGACTTCTGTTGATACTAACTGCTAATAAGAATGTTGCTCTAATGGTTTTTTTTTCTGGAAACCTATTTATGAATTTATAAATTCACTGATGTAGTTCAGACATTGATTGTGAACAAAGTTCTATACAATCACGTTCACTTTTGTTCCGATAGATTTCGTTTTTCGAGTCATATTTGATTGATTACATTTTTTATTATGAAATCTGTGAAGCTAAACTGCTGTAACTTTTCTTAACTGCAAAAAATGTCGATGTATACTAGAGTCCTGCAACGGGGTCGGGTACCCGGCACCCGACCGGACCCGAAACTGTGGTCCGGGTACAAATTTGCCGGGTCGGTTCGGGTGCCGGGTATAAAAAAAAATGCCGGGTCGGGTGCAGAATTTGAGTATACCCGGTACCCGACCGGTAGTCGATGACATCTTAACAAGTAAAAGTATTTTAAACTCTAGGATAGAGTCCTGCAACGGGGCCGAATACCCGGCACCCGATCGGACCCGGAACTGTGGTCCGGGTACAAATTGTTACTTGATGAAATTAAAATAATAGTATATTTTGCCATATGAAATAAAAGTTTGAAAAGTGAATATAATTTTGACAATAACAATCAAGTGCTGACTATTTCAAGGCTGGGCCGGGTCCGGTCGGGTACCGGGTAGAGCTATCCGGGTCCGGTTCGGTTCCGGGTGGAAGATGACCGGGTCCGGTCGGATTCCGGGTTTGAAAAAAATGAGCCGGGCCGGGTCCGGGTGCGAAAAGTAGTACCCGTGCAGGACTCTAATGTATACGAATTGAACTTATGAACATGAGAATTTTTAAAGTTTTTGTGTGTTGTCTGCTAGCATTTTTTTCTTAAATTGTTGCAGAATTTTTTGATTGATATGTTTGATCGAAAATGCAGTGGCGTATATCAATATGAAAAGATATAACTGATATGAGTGTTACAAATCTTATTATTAAATGTCAATCGTATATTTTCCTTCAATGATTAATAAAGTTCAAATGATGAAGTTAATTGTTATGTTTCTGCTCTATTTTTTTGATATTGTCAAGATGCTTAGAAGCACATCTAAACTGAGCAGACGGATGTACCAATATTGACACATCATTCTCCATGTGATTCTCCTTTCCTTTACATTTTCCCTCTGTCTTTTTTTTCTTTCCTGCGTTCATTTCTCTCTAAAATAAGTTTGTCTGTATGTGTGGGTGTGAGTGAGTGTGGGTTAAGGGATACTTGACACCCACACTCACACCCACATCAGTTCCTTCACCACCACCATTGATATCGGCGCCAATCAATCTGCTCTGTTAAATAAAATTGAAAAGTTCAAAAAGAATGATGTTAAAAAGATGAGTGTGAGTGAAAATAGTCACCTCACACAACCACATTCTCTGCTCTGTACTATCCTTCATAATTCACCAAATACATGTTAAATGTTACATGGAACTTTCTTATTCGACTGTGGTTTACGGAGTTGAGTGATTCCAGACTGAATAAAACAAGAGAGTGGTCTCATTGCAATACAAGAACACACTTTTTATGAAGTGAAAACTTTTACCTTGATGATTTCGCATTGAGCAACATTTTTACTTGCACTATTCTTTTTCAGTCATTCATAGATGATTATCAAAATCAGTTTTGCTATGTTCTCTTCGACTGTACAATTGTTTCATTCCTTTCGCGGAGGAGCTGATGTTGTTTTTCGTTAACATCTTTCTTTTTCTCTCTTTCTCTGCAAAAAAGAACTTATTTTTTATGCATGTTGCTTCAGTTGAAACTCATTTTTTATCGATTAGAAAAATTATGAGACAGAATTAGTTTTATGCTTATGCAGAAGATTTTGGTCAGTAATTTTTTTTTATCTACAAAACCAATCTAATATGTACAATTGACTAAGTTGACAAACAAATTGCATAAAAATATTGACAATTATATGTTTGAAATGATAATGATCATTCTATCGTGAATCTACGCTGAAATAAAGAAAAAAACGAAAATGGATGCACAACATCTACCTCACCTATAAGCCACGTGGGGCCATTTACTTAAAGTACATTTTGTGTTGATGCTGAAATTTTCATTTTTGTGTTTTACGAACCAGCTCATATTGCTTAAATTGCTTTTAATAGTGTGTTGACAGAAGAAATGAAAAAAAAAGGAAGGATACTGAAATATATCAATTTTTGTTGCTGACATAAACCTGAGTAAAAGGAAAAGAGTGTGTACGGAAAAAGTATAACTCCACATTTTCTTATCATTTTCATTCACAACTTCTTACTGAGTATCACTACACGTGACGCACTGAGATAAGATGATGTTTTTGTATAAGAATTTCATATTTTGTGGCATATTGATATTTGTATTCTATCAGTAGGCATGGCATCAGGATTAGAATCAAATCGATGTTCGATCTGTCAGAAAGCGGATGGAGAATGCATGTGTGATGGATGTAAAAAGTACTTTTGTGTCAAGCATTTCGATCAACATCGACAACAACTGTCGACAAAATTCGATGTTGGAATTGTAAGAACTCATGATGAACTTTTTGAACAAATCAACAAAATCAATCAACCGAATACTAGTGGTTCGGAACTTTTCGGTGAAATTGATCGATGGGAAACTGAAATCTACGAAAAAGTTCATCAAGCAGCTGAAAAAGCTCGTCATCAACTTACTGAACTGCTCACTGAAGGGAAAGACACGTTGAAAAAGGACTTTGAAATAATGACAAAGGAAATTCGTGATCGACGAAAAGAACTTGATTTTAATGAAAATGATATTGAACGACTTCAACAAAAGCTGAATCAAATTCAAATATCAGTAAATCGACTTGTTCGATCAACAGAAACGAAAGCGGTCATAGTGACAAATGATCAAATCAATTGGAATCGGATTATATATGTCGAAAGTAACCATGCCAGAACGGGTGAGTAGATTGAAAACAATATTTTATCAAATATTCGAGCTAGTTGCATTATTGACGAAATTGAGAGCATTTTCGTCTCGTTTTATAATCAAACTTCTTAAACATAAACAGATGTTCTTGACAGTCCAATATTCTTCAAGGACATGCGTCCCTTTCGGGAATTTCTCGAGAACGGTTCTACACAAATTTATGAAACATTTAAGGTAGCTATATCTCGATGTGTAGAGCAAAATTTGCCACAGATTCAAAATTCCTAAATGTTTTTTCGGAAAGATGCGGGAGTCGCAAAGGCCAAAATTGACCAGAATTTCCCATCCCGCTAAAAATCTATATTTTATTTTTGCGAGATACAATTTTTTTTATGATAACTAGAATCGAATCGAAATGCGTATTTTTTTCTGTGAAAAATATCATTTGTAGAGATCAAAAGGAGCAAAATAATGGAGGCGTCGTCAAAAGCACATGTTTTTTTAACCGTACTATTTTTGTACACGCTGCCAAATTTTGTAGGAATAACATTTTGAAGCAAGAAAAAAGATGCGCATCCGAATTCGATCGAGCATACCATGTGAGAAAAAAAGAGGAGAAACTTCAGTCGTTTTGTTCAAAAATTGATTTTAAGCAAAATGCAAAGAAAGTCACTTTTTCTTGACATTTCTGCATAAAAATGTTCGATTTTCAAGGTTCTTACATGCAAAGTGATCGTTGTTTCTTCTTAAAAGTTCATTAGATAGAAGGCCTTTAGATCTACATAGTAAACATGAAAAAAAACAAAAAACGAAAAATTTGTAAATTTCGGGTCTAGAAAGAGGCGGGTCACCTTAAGGAAACCGTCTATCGAGCCGTGATGTTATGAAAGTGTTTAAAGCCATGTTTAAATGCATTTTAATGAGTTTTCAACCATAATCGAATAAGAGTAAATATCCAACAAAACCGTCTGAAATGAGAAAGTCTTGAAAAAAAAATGCATACCTAGTATTGAGAACTAAATTGTTGATCAGATTTAAGAGTGTTCATAATCATTGAAAAAGTACCTATAAGTGAAATCGTGTACGACAGAATCATCATTCTATTAAAGAGAGTAGCTGCCTAATTTCAGTCCGAAAATAAATGAGAAGTTCAAAAAAAATGGCATTCGTACTGGCTTGACCGAAAAAGCCAAAAGCGCCGAATTTCTATCTCAATTACTATTCTAATGATTGAAAGAACGCGATCATCTTAATGGGACCAAACAAGATAGAATTTCATCTCGCTTATTATTCTTATAATTCAAACCAAGCACTTAGTTTACTATCATCGACAACATGTTGGAAATTACTGAAACGTATACAAAGGCGGTATCACTTCTTCAAATACATTCGAAGTTAGAATAGCCATGAGGTGCCCAAAGCATTGTCATATTTAGAATAGATGATCTATACCACGTTAGCCTATTGATATAAAGATACTGGTTCGGAATTGTATGATAAACGGTTGAAAATTGAAGCAGTTAATTAGAAGCATCTTGTTTTTATAAAATAGGCCAGAAAATTGGTAACTATCAGTGCTATCAATGAGTTGAAACCGTATCAGGTATTCATTTCTAATGAATTTGACACAAATGATAATTTCGACGCTAAAAGATGCAATAAATATTAGCCAAGTAAATTTAGAAAAAATTTCTTCATGAATATTATCACGGAGAATGCGATAATCAACATGACCGATTGACGAAAATGAAAATGATGAAAAAACAGATATGTTAGACATACTCTCATAATATTTTCTTTTGAAAGGAATTACCAGTTAGTTGTATTGTGTGTCATATTACTCAATCAAAAGAAAGTAATTTTCTAAAGTTTGAGAAAAATCTCATTAAGTATTAAATTGAATTCATGCATCTTGAGAACCCAGAATGACTATTACGACGACCTGATACAACCGTACAAGGCCGTTTAAATGACATAAACGATCGTATACGCGCCGTATTTTAACTTTTTTGGAATGTGCCGTATTACGACCGTATACCAATAACGTAACCCACCTTCTCAACGCCGTAATACGGTTGTATCTCTACACTGCGAAAAAAAAATCCAGGTCCTAGGGTGTGGATCAGGCTAAGAGTAACACCCACACTCACACTCCACTCTAATTCTATCACACGTAATGTTTTTTTTTGTGCTGTAGAAAAACCAAGAAAACATGTAGTTATATCTATTTAGCAGTTTGTATTCTGTTTTCATTCTTTTCCGATTCTTTTTGATTTATCACTGAAACTTATTTTCATCTTGAAGTTCAAGCAAAATTACCTATATGAATTAATAGAACCATAAAATGTTCAGGCCAAAATGAAAAGATAGGCAGTCATGTTTTGTTTCTTGAATCTCTATATGAATCGTTTATATCGGTTTCTTCGCTCATTTCAACAATGTGTTTTATATCGTTAGTATGCTATAGAAATAAGATAACATTTAGCAAACGATTTGTTTTTCTCTTATTTTTTTTTATAATATACTTGATGAAAATTTTATGAAAATGTTTATTAATTCTACTTATTTTTTTTTTATCGGTATTTCACTTTTCTTGTCATATTATTTATCTATGCATTTTTGCATAATTTTAATTCATGTAAAACTTCGACAATAAAACATCAGTGAAAATAGTTTCATGATAATAATGAAAATAAAACGCACAAAACTTTCTAGATTGTCGAAGATATTGCTCTATTTTGAGATAAAAAAGAATTGGATCTAACTTTCAAGAAATGCAAAAGTCTTTTCAGATGAAAGCATCTTGGATGACTGTCTACCAGATTCTAGCCTGATACTCAAAGTCTTGCTTTGAAGACAAGTCTCTTATATTAAATGTATTGAAGAAGAACTGAGTTTTTCTACAAAAAGTTTTACAAAAACTACAAACAAGCTTACTTTCTTCTCTTATTAAAGGTAACGGTGAAAAATGTTTTATAGTATGAATCTGGTGTCGCATCCAAAAACTTCTGAAAGAACAGACAATTCTATCTTATATTCTTCCTCTGGATCTACCACTGCATTAAACACCATAACACCATAGATAGTATATCATTGGAAAATTTCCAAAAGAGAAAAGCAGATTTCTGTACTTCTATACTTCTTCGTACTTCTTTGTACTTCTCCATAGCCCTTCATATTTCTTGGCATGTATATGTGAAGTTGTTTTGTTTTCAGAAATGAAAGAAAACTATAGACAGCTTCTCTTTACAACACTTGTTTTTCGATTTACAACAGATAAACAAAAAACAAAAGTAGAATTTACAGTTAAAAAAACAGAGTACCAATCCTCTTGTTAAGCTTTTTCTTATGCACTAATATTTTCAAAGAGAGAAAGAAAATTACGGCTTTTCACTTTCTCATAACAACGACATATAACACAATAGTAGAAAATTAATGCTAGTCATAATTATAGATAAAAAAGGATTAATGCTGAACATTAAACAGAAAGAAATGTTAATATTCATTAAAAAAATCATCGTCATTTCATGATAGCAACATCAACAAATTGAAAACAACATATACGATAAGAATTTAAATGATCTATTATGGAAATAAAATATAAAAAATTAACCTAGATGCTACTTGTTGTCTTATGGTTTTGTTTTTTTTGCTGTTGAATGAGTACATTCAGCCAACAGAAACTGTCTCATCTTATCTTACTATAAAAATTTATATACTCCACAATACTTCATATACTTCAGGATACTTCATGGTACGTCAGAAATACAGAAGTCTGCTTTGTTCCTCTTGGTAATTTCAGATGTTCTTATATTAAATGTCGCATCAACAGGGATTTTTTTAAACAAACCAATCACAAAGCCATTTCTTTCGAGAAATACGAAATAAAAGCAACGCAATAACTTATTCATTACTGTATAACGAATAGGACAATGATATGCTTTACTATTATTTTTATTTCTTACGTCTTTTATTTGTTTCAAATATCGTGAACAGTCAAAATAGGAAAAAAAACTAAATAATTTCGGCGGCTGAATTCTATTGTTATTCAACTTGTAATTTCGCCTGTCAAGTATTTAATAGTATCAATAAAAAATGTTAGATAGTTTAATCACAAATGAGCTACGTAATCAAATTTCGTTTTTTGTTATGAAGAGAAAAGAAATGCCGATTTCCTCGAAATGAGTTTTCCGTTCTTATAATAATTTTGGATTCATTTTAGCACCACTACGCTCAAGCTCAATTGACATTCATCCAAATGCAAAATGGAAGCAAGCTGGTGTTACTGTAGCTGGAGGAAATGAAGAAGGCAATGGAATCAATCAACTCAATTGCCCTTGGGGTTTGTATGTTGATGATGAGGAAACAGTTTATGTTGCTGAAGAATCGAATCATCGCATAATGGAATGGAAATCAGGTGCGACGAATGGCAAAGTTATTGTTGGTGGAAAGGGAAATGTAGC